TTGCCAAAATTGATGTAGTTTTTCTAATTCCATTACGATACTCTCTTCCATAGCTAGCACAATCTTAAACATCACGTTTGTTCATAAATATTAGAGCGAAGATTCTTCACTAATCATTTGACATTCACTTATTTTTTAATTTTCTATTGAAAATATTTATAGAGCAAATCAAGATAATATCTCCCATAACTCTCTAAATTTAAAAATACAAGAGCTCTCATCTATGATGCATCGACACGCCTCTTGAAGAGAGAATGCAGTGTCAGACACGGACACGTGCCCGACACGGCTAGGACACGTGTCAGACATGGCATACATGTGTCTGATTAAAATAATGTTTAAATTTAACCCGACACCACTGGGACACGTTTTGGACACGGCTGGGACACGTGTGACCTAATTTTTTAATTGTAAATATATGATATCCAATGAACTATTATGAGAGATAACTAGAGAATTAGAGAAGTATAGAAGTAAATAAATACATTCTTTGTGATTTAGATTAGATGATAAAGAAATATTATGGGAGAGACCTAGCGAACTAGAGAAGTAAAAAGATATAAAGAGAAACCAAATTTTATTATATGATATCCAATGAAATATTGTAAATCTTTCTCTTGTTGAACCAGAGTTGAAAACAGTGATATTCAATGATGATGATATTGAAGACAAAAAACAAACCTCTAAAGCTAATCCTAGTAGTTGAAGCTTGAATGCTTGATGTTGTAGTAAGTGATTATTTGCTTATATTTTTGTGGTTGTACTAGACATTTTGTACAAAATATTTTATATTATAAGCTAGACAAGTTATCATGTCATTTATTTATTATTGTTTGTCATTTTTAATATGATGTTACATTAATATCTATACACTATACAAAAAAAATGTAATCCCGTGTCCTATATTTTCAAAAAAAATCGTGTCCCGTGTCCGTGTCGTGTCGTGTCCGATTCGCCGTGTCCGTGTATGTGCATCATAGGCTCTCATTTGTAAGATCTCTCTTTTGGACCTAAAAACATTTCATTTATGCATCTTGTTCAAAGTTATCTCCAGTAAACCTTTTGGATAAAGCTATAATATACTTCAATATATTGTCTTATAATTTTTCAAAATAATTTATTCCTTTAAACTCTCATTTAATACAACAACATCATCAAGCCTTTGTCCCACTACGTGGGGTCGGCTACATGAATCATTTTTCTCCATTGTGTCTTGTTAAAAGTCAAATTCTCGTTTAAATATAATAAAGAAAGATCATTTCTAATAAAATCTCATTTAATAAAACGTCTAAATAGCATTTCTATCTCTCCTCAATATCTTCATCTTTAACCAAGATCTGATTATCTACACTTCTTATGCCATTAACTTGATCTCTAGATATCTAATCTTTTGCCTTAGCTACTCTAAATATCTTATCATTTTCCTTCATTAGTGTGAAGCCTGTCATATATATCATAAAAAAATTGTAGCTTTTAATTTACACTACAATCTTTACGAGAATTCTAACTTTCTTACAATAATTCTAAGCAAAATAGTATCAATTATCATCACAATCTAAAAATGCATTTTCCTTCATAACCCTTTTTACCTGTAATGCTACAAGAAAGCATTTTCAGCATATCCAGTATTCAGTCCCAACCAAGGTATTAATCCTGTAACTGAAATTTATTGCTTTAAAATTGCAAGTAATTGCAAACATGTTTTGATTTGATACATCATCTCATTACAAAAACCAGCAGCTTGTCCCAAATTGATTCCAACGCTCACAAAAAAATGTTATATCAGCTTTCTGATAGACCATACGCTAATGCCAATAAATATTTCATCCATGTAAGAACATAAAATGTTGGTGCGACTTGTTTACCGTGTCCTAGAAATGCTTCAGTCGCTACCATCACAATGTTGGCAAGTGTATAAAGCGGAAGACAAAAACGTTAAAATCTATTAAAAGATTTCAGCATCTTGTAAAGCATGTAACTTAACAATATATAAAAACAGCATAAAAGCATACCACTCTGCTTTTTCAGGCTCCATACGCACAACTTCAGCAAAACCAGATAATGCACCCTCTGGATCAGTTTCAACAAGACCTGCAAAATAATTTAAATTTTCAAAATGGGATTTGAAGAGTATGTACTAAAATTATAATGTGATTGACATAGGTCAGGAGTACCAAGTGGTATTCTATAGCATCGACAAGACATTAGCAAACACCACTTCTCAGGCAAAAAATGGACAAAGGTGTTTCTAATCATTTATGGAAGAATACCAGCAGCAAATGCCTTTCGCAAAAATAGTAACATACTGATGAAATATTAAGCTTGAATTGCAATTACAGCGTTATTTTGGACGGCTTCTATGCTTAAAACTGTAAAAATAATCCCAACTAAGATTAAATAATGAAAATTAGGCACATTCTGATGCAGGATTATAGCTTACCAGACTTCCACCGTAACTTGTGATCTCTATTGAGTTCAACATGACTTGCAACCAGCATGACCATTAAATTATTTTCTATATTAAATTGTAAGTGTGTGCCTAATTAATTAATTTTAACATGTTTTAAATACTTCATATAATTTCCTCTCTATATAACAAAAAGCAGCATAATGTAACAATTATTTTGGTTTTCCAGAAATCACGTTCACCAGGCCTAAAACCCTATTTAACCGGCCCTTACTTTTCTTTTGCTGTTCGTTAGCTCTTTATAAGACAAAACTTTTTAATTGTGACCATGGTTAATTGTGTCTCTATTTAGAACTAGCAGCAGAAATTTATAAGTGTTCTTCAAACACACCATCATTTCCAGTTTTCACCCCTCTCTGAGCAGAACCAATTTGGCAAAGAAAATACGCTCCTAAAAGAACAGTTTGTCATTATGAAAAACAAAATGCTGGGATACCGGATAAGAAAGCTGGAAAAAAAAAACGACAAAAAAACAAGGTCAAAAGTACAAATGACATTCAAACAACATAATACATTATTCCTGCGAAGCATGCAAATCAACGAAAAAAGGTTGATCAGTAAATAACGATATCAATCAAATACAACCATAACAAAAGCCATGCATACGATTTCTACGCGTATGACATTTACCTTTAGAATTGTAGTATTGGTTCTCGATATCAACATCCTGTTCCTCCTGTTCCTCCTCCGAATACTCAAAGCCATAATCCTCCATATCAGCGTCTGAAACCAGCACCAGCGTCAGCGTCACCAAATAAAAGTTAAAGCAAAGTAATAAATATTCAGTATTGCAACGCGAGAAGGCTACAAATGAGAAAAACAACTGACGGTACGAAAGTAGACAAAATAAAAATTATCAAATTCAACCAGCTACTGGAACCCAATAAATCAATTCTACGAATCTCGCATTGATGAAAAGAGGAAGACAGTATGGGATGAGGCTTTGTGCCCAGAGAGTGGACGACAACGACACAGTGTGGTCGCAGAGATAAAACCTAGAAACCGCACGATGGCTCACCGGAACCCATGATTCCCGCGGCTAATTAGCCAAAGGGGTGGAAGCCCTGGCTCAAGAGAGGAAACACGATCTAGATTAGGGTTCTTCGCATATTTTGCAGCGATTTCCTCGTGAGCAAGAGCATCGAGGCGATCTCCAGTAAAACGAATGGGCAACTAGGAAGAAATAAAATGGTAGATTATATCAAGGGGGTGTATTATTTATTCCTGTATTTAAATTAAATGAAAATATATTTATTATTTTAATTCATTTATTATTTGCTAATTAAAAGAAAAATACTATTTATTTCTAACTCTTCTTGTTTAGTCAAGCTCGCTAAATTTTGTGTTGAGTTTGAGCTCTAGCTAGACTTGAGCTCATTTACTGAGCTCAAGCTTGGCTAAAGTGATATTAAGCTCAGGCTCAACTAGAATGCTCGAGCTCCATAAATAAATAAATAAACTCGAAATTGACTTAGTTATAATTCTAAAAAATAATTAATTAAATTAATATAAATACTTAATTTTAACTAATATTAATTGAACATGCATGTCAAGATAATAAGCTGATCGAGTTAATATAATAAATGAGCTCTAATTTAAATTTGAACTCAAACTTGATGGTTCAATAAATTTGCAAAAGCCTTCTTTCATAAATAATTTTTCTTTTTTTTTTAATGATTTTTTTCGTAAATAAGTACAATAAAAATTACGTCTTCATTAAAAATAACTTTTTTTATTGCTTTAACTCAATTATAATATTTGTTTTATCACTATTTTTCATTGATTTAAAAAAAAATTACACTAGAAAACTACTTTCTACAACCATTTAAAAAAACCACAAAAGTATTATAAAGTAATAAGAAAATTGTCCAAAATAACTTATAAGACTCCATTTGGAATAATTTTTTTTACTAATTACTTTTCAGATCAATCATTATTGTTTTGATACTCTCAAAAATATTTAGAACTAAAAATCTATTTTTTTTATAATAGCTTGAAACAATTATTTTCTCAACAACAATTTTTCAAAATAATTTAAAAAAAAGTCTCTCTATTTTTGCACATTAACTTTCTAATACAAAATATTTTTTTAAAGCAACGAAAAATTAATGTAGAAGAGCTATCCAAAAAGAAACATAAATCTCTTAATAATAAATTCTGAAAAATTGGGAAAAATGTTATATTTACAAATCAGTATAACTATGATTAAATATTTTATGATACATAACTATTTATGATGCATTTTAGTTCATACCTCCTATAAATATTGTTCTGCTTACACATAATATATTAAGTGTTATTTTTTTTAAACATAAAAAGTACAAAAGTAACCATCAATAAATAATTATATTCAAGATTTATAACATTTATCTTTTTAGGCTTCATTTGAGATAGCTTTTTTGTTCTTTCTTAAAACAATTTTTTAATACGAAAAATTTTTAACCTAAAAATTTTTATATTAAAATACTACTTTAAAAAATAATAAAAAAAATTATCCCAAATAAAACCATAATCTCCAACATCTTCCCTTATTGTACAATACTGCTGAAATAAATATCCATTTCAAACACAACTTTAAATCCAAAATTATATCCACATCCATCAAGATTATTGGACTCTTATATAAGAATATGTTGGACAATCAAATATGCTACAAGGTAAAGATATAGACTCGTTTGGGCCAACTTTCGTGCTGCTTTTAAAAACAATTTTTTAGTACAAAAATTTTAATTTTTATACTGAAAACTTATTTTAAGATGCAGTAAGAAAGCTGTCCCAACAAGGCCATAAACAAGATGACTGAGCTATAATTAAGGAAACAGCCATGCCATCATTTACAAGCTGCATTTAACTAATTACAACAGCACAAATAAGGAATGAACACACCTTTGAAAAAAAACCTTCTCACTCCGCTTTAAGCTTTTGCTGGCTCTCTTTAGGCCCGCAAAACAATCTGAATGAGCAAAGAGCCAGGATTGTAGCCTGGATGGGTGCAAGCCAATATACTAAAATATGCTCCAGAGTTATGTGATCCCCTCGAGCATAAGCCCAGGCGAAGGCCTGCCAAAGAAGTTAGTTATCAGATTGCTCCCCTAAAAAAATGACATTTTTGAAGGTATTATGGTGGAAACGGTAGAAACAGTAGGTGCCATCTAGCTTAACTGGGCAAATATTTTAGAAATTATTGCTGAATCTGGTCTGTATTAAATTTAGCTTGGGACGCACAAAGTCCCATCCCAAAAAAGGGCAAATGAAAGATGTTCTTAGAAATATTGAAAATTGAAGACCTAATTTCAGTAGATGCCGATGTTATTTAGGTTTTGTTTGAGACGATTTTTTTACCGCTTCTTAAAGCAGCTTTGTAGTACAAAAATTAAAAATTTCTATTAAAAAACAACTTTAAGAAGCAGTAAGAAAACCATCCCAAACGAAACCTTAGAGTGTTATGGAAACCATCAATAATATCAATCACACACAGTCTATCTGAGATTTAATTTATGAATCCTCCTGCATTTCCATCCATGCATGCTGAGTGAAACATGAGAGTTTTTTTTTTCCCTGCAGTTTCATGCCATATTACATGTAGCCTATTTTCCTTTCAAAATCCTTTTCACATTAATACCATTTAACTGTCTATGTTGTGCATCTTTTATTTTCTATTATGTCTGAGCATATACGTGAAAAGGTTGGAGTAGCTCCAGTAGAAGATAAGATTAGAGAGAGTCGCCTTAGATGGTTTGGTCACATAAAACGGCGGCCTTCCGATGACCCGGTTAGGAGAGTAGAGGTATTAGATTTGACTTATGTTAAGAAAGGTAGGGGTAGACCTAAAAAGTCTTGGTTAGAAAATATTAGGAATGACCTTTCTTTATTAGATTTAAACGAGAATTTGACTTTTAATAGGACACAATGGAAAAAAAGGATTCATGTAGCCGACCCCATGTAGTGGGATAAAAGCTTGATGTTGTTGTTGTTGTTGTTATGTCTGAGCAATTTAACTCATAGTATTAACTACCTTATCTTCAATAACCACTATTTTCATATTTCTAATCTAATCATTTTATATTCACTCCCTCCTAATTTTGACATAAATTCATCAGAATATTTATTTATATCATAATTAATTTGGTTATAGTGATGCTTTATTACCCAAAACCCAAACTAGCTTTAAATATTTATGATATCTTTTTTACCAATATAGTACTCAAAAAGCACTCAAGCGGTTTGCCTACCAACTTTAACTTCAAAAAATTACCTTCTCAATTATATCTTCATTATTTCATTCTCATATTCACTAACTTAAATGATTTCTAAAAAGTTTAGTTTCTTCTCAATTTCATAAAAATTGATGACCATGTTTCAAGATCAATAAAGAACATAGGAAGATCCTAATGATAGGACATTTGTGAGGAAGGTCTCCAGCAATTTTAGTGAGGCTATTCTTCTCTTCGGTTTTGTAGCATGATCATATAACATACTCATCCATACGGGCGTTTGGCCTTCGGTCCTATAATGCAGTGGATCCTTCACCTGGTTCTTGCAACACCTATCCCTATTGCTCAATTCTTATGCTATGACTTCTAGTGAGGTTTTGTGACTTGGTTATGTGTTCGAATCTTACTCTTATAACACCTAAGTGGTTCTTGCAACTCGATTTTTCTTGTTTTGCCATGCAATTTCTTTTGAATTTTATTATTATGTGTGATCTTATTCAATTTTGGGAATTGCTCAAATATTAGGGTTAAGATGTTTAAAATTATTTAATTTTGGATTCAATAAATTCATGATTTCAACTTCAATCTCGTGCATGTTGTGTTTGTTATTTCTTCCAATGTGGAACAAACGGGGCTACTTAATTCTAAGAGAAGTCATGTCCTTCTACCAGAATGAGGAACGAATTTTCTTCAATTTAGCAAACTATTTCCTTGATCTAGTTTTTCATAAAAATAATATTAATAGTTTGCTAGAGTTCATTAATACAACTGAAATCTTAATTGAGGTGAAAAGTTTTTCATCATATGTTCCCTTACAATCACCTATGACTTCAACATATAACATCATTTTGATTCAAATGGAATATCCAATCCTAAATATCTCTATTATTTATTAATACTTGAACCAAATTATTTCTTCAAACTTGGAATCCTCTAAATATTTAAGATTTAACAAAATAGATTTTTAACCAAATATTTCAATTGTCTAAATATCCACTGAAAATGTTATTATAAATATACAATTAAGATATAGTATAGATTGGGATCTAAAATTTTATATCTATGCAGCATGCTCCATTCTAGCTAAATATCACTTTTTTAATGATGAAACAATAGAATACTTCACATTTTCCTAATTTTCTTTATTAAATGGATTTTTCTTAAATTTGGATTTCTCAATATTGCATTTTAATATTTCTTTGATGTCTTTTACTTTAATTACAATCATACTATCTTCACTTAAATACATCTAACTTGATCAAAGTTTTTATTGAGATTTATAAGTATCACAAATTGGAAATGTCAAGTAAATAATTATACTAGCAAGATGTATTATTTATTAGCTATTTAATTTTGCAATTTATAATTTATTTAATATGGGATATGCTTTTGATGATGAGAACTAAGTGTGTTCTCTTTCTTTATTTATAATATTCTTGGTTAGGATACTTGTTGAAGGATCATGTGACCCACTAGTCAACCAATCTTGATAAGCATCCTAGAGCCATGAATTAAAAGTTCTAATCATTAGAATAATCCTCTTATGATCGTTAGATTGCAATTTGTGTCTCCACTTCACCAACTAACCATTAACCCCAAATGGTGACTTTTTTTTTCAAATAGCTTTGATTTATTTCTATTATAAAACTTTTATAGAAGTCTTTATGTACTTCCACATTATTTACATAATCAAACAATAAAATTCAAAATAATTTTTTCTACTTTTCTACATGGAATTAGATAAAGATTTGGGTCCCCTTCTTCCGACTTTTGTTCTCCATCCTTCTTGTTGAGATTCTTCATATCTTTATTATGTCGGATTTCTTTAATTTCCTTCCAAGAAGTCAATCATCATGAATGATAAAAATCAAACTAAGGGAATGATCTAGGAGCTACAAGCCTTATCAGATAAATGAGAGAAACGATATGAAGTGATCCCAAATTGTTAATATATTTCTGAAAGAAGGGGAAAGATCCAGCATTTTATGGATCCTCCTTCGAATCTAAGGACCCAAAGTTATATTTTGGGATAAAGCATATTTCATTGTGAAATAAAAGATACTTAAAATCAGTGGGCTATATATGTTCTACTCTAACGCAAAAAATGTTTGGGACATCGTCAAATAAATGTACTCAAAGTGAAAGATGATGCCCTCATCTACAAAAATAAAATTAAAATTTCTACAAATAAATAAGGTAACCTTCCTGTTATTGGATGCTTTAATGCAATGAAGGTTAATTGGATTGAATACAGTTATTACAAAGATCTCAAGATGACATGTTGCGACAATGCGACAAATCTCATGACATGTTGCGACAATGCGACTTACTAATGACTTTAATCAGTTCGTCTACAAATTTTAAATAGAGAAAATCTAACATCATTAAATGAGATTTTTTTTTTCATACGAGCCGAAGAAAAAATGAGGTTATAAAGGTTTCACCAAAAAGAGAAGTGTTGTCATGTGGAATTAGAATGGCTCAATCCAGATGAAATTGAGAAACTCAAGAACTTCCTTAACAATGAAAAAAAAAAACCATCTAGATCATTCTCTATATCTCAAAATAGTATAATTTCTAACTCTTGGGTTTTCAATGTTATAAATAATTTCCCTCACACCTAGATCCTAGATTCAGAAGCCACTAATCATATAATTAATCTTGTCAACTTTTTCAGACCAATAAATCCTATCCCAATAATAGAAAATTAAAAGCTACTGATGATTCTCTAATATATGTTGTATATCAAGAAAATGTATTAAGTTTCTCTACATTTACCCCCAAGAATATATGTTTCTTATGTTGCAATAAATCTTGTATCAATTCATAAAATTATTAATAGCTACAACAGCAAATTAATTTCTTTGGTTAATTATTGTATATTTCAATAGCTCACTATGGAAGACAACTGGGCAAGCTAGAGAAAAGAATAGGATATAACTCTTTGAAGATATAAACCACTTGGCATGTTTCTTCATTTCCACCCCCAATATAGAAGCCATTTAGGAACATTATTATATGCTAAAGCATCCATCTTTTAAAACCCTACAATATATGTTTCATTCTCTTTTAGTAAAAGTTAACATAAAATTTTCATTGTTATACTTGTTAAATCATTAAACATCATCTTGTGATTTTCTTGAAAATAATTCTAGATCTTCTACTCAATTTTTAATTGTTCACTCCAACATTTGCAAACTTTCCACAATCTCAATATTTTTTAGTTAAAAAACTTACCATCTTTATTAATGCTTATACTTGAATGATATGAGTATATCTTATCAAATAAAAATCTAATGTCAACATTATTCTTCTCATTTTTACTCTCACAATAGAAATATATGTACATGCTAACACCAAAATATTTTAGACAAATAATGCTCATGATTACTTTAATCACGCATAACAACCAATTCCCCAATCATAATACTTCCCAACAAAATAGAGTGGCAGAAAAATAAAATCATCTTATGGAAGTCACTAAGACTTTGTTACGCATACGTACAGGAGGCGGACTGGAGTGGCAGAAAAATAAAATCATCTTATGGAAGTCACTAAGACTTTGTTACGCATACGTACAGGAGGCGGAACCAGTCCGCCTCCTCACCTTTGTTATGCCAAACGGATGGTTCCCACCCCATCTAATTAAATTCAAATTGAATAGAGGGGGGCGGCTAGGCTTTTGGGAGGAAAATTAGATTAGGAAAGTTTTGATATTAAAGTGAATGAGGGAATTAGGGAGGAGGATGTGTTTTGTTTGATTGCAAATTAGGGTTTCTTGGTTTTGGGCTCTAGACTCTCTGGTCTAGAGATTTGGGAGAGACGATCCTCCTCTCGAATTGAGGATCATTTGTATCTTGTTCCCGTGTTTGTTTGGCTTTGTTTCTCTTATTGCAATCCATCGTTTTGGGGCTGATTTCCGCCTAGATTTTGCTTTATTCTCGTTGTTTTCTCTAATTAGTGATAGGCTTGCTTGCAAACTCAAGCATTTCCCTTAGGGTTACTTGCGAACTCAAGTATTTCCTATCAGACTTTTCTCCTTCATAATTACATGTTAAAGATTTTTTAAGAGAATGAGTCATAATTACAATATATCTAATCAATAGAATACCCTTAAAAGTGATTAACCCCAAAAACTTCGTAAACTATTTGGTTGAATTTTCAGCAAAAAATAATTCTCTCAAAAATTTCTCCAAAAATCTTTAAGTATATTGCTTATGTCCACATTCGCAAATAATAGAAAGGTAAACTTAATCCTAAAGCTCTCAAATATATCTTTTCTTGAATATTTATTCACTAAAAGGGACATAAGTATTATCATCCCATCATAAAAAAAAATTGTTACTGCAAAAGATATCACCTTTCATTGAGAAGTAACATTTTTCAATCAAACTCATCTTCAAAAGGAAACTCTCAATTGAAAAATAAATTGGATAACACATCTATCTTTTATCTTGACATTCCTAAAATACAAACAGCAAAAAATTCAAACATTATACCCATCAAATTCATACAAGATGGAAATATGCTTAGTCAAAATTCTCCAGCACGCTCAAGGTACAAAACCATTATCAAATAATAATGATCAACACATCACTGCCTATACTCATATGTATCTCAATCCCAGCACACATATTTTCAAAAAATCTCCCTAACCAAATATCCATTTACAAGAATTGAAAGAATGTCATAAGAGAAGAGATGTTCTGAAAAAAAAAAAAAACACACACTTGAAAAATCATTGAACTATCAACAGAGGAGAAAATGTTAGCATACAAATAGATTTTTTTTTATAAAATATAGAGTACATGAAAGCCTAGAACAATTTTAAACAAGATTGGTAGCCAAAAAGTATACTCAATCCTATGAAATTGACTGCCAAGAAATTTTTAATTTTGTTACAAAATGAATATAACATGCATCTTAATTTTTTTTACAACCAATCATAGGTCTAAGCAATAGTATGATGTAAAGGATGTTTTCCTATATGAGGATGTTGAAGAAAAAAGTCTCTAGAGATCCCCCGCCTAGATTTGATAGTTCTATCATAGAGAACGAAAGCATGTAAATTAAAAATGGCTCTATATGGCCTTACATAAGTTTTGAGAAAATGATTTGACATGTTCACAAAAAACCATGAATAAAGTTAGATATAAAAAGCCAATGAAATATTACTCTCTTCATAAAAACTCCACTATTAATAAAATCTCAATTATCAATGTATATAGTGACAATAAAATTATCATAGGTGATGATAAAAGAGATAGTGTCCCTGAAAAAACATTGCTAAAAACTTTGAGATCAAAGAGTTTGGCAAACTCAGATATTTCTGAGGAATAGAAATAGCTCAATCAGAATAATGAATATTTCCCTTATGGCCCTTAGATTGCAATCCGTGTGCCTCATCTTTCTCTTATATCTATCGGTCCCTCTTCAAGACTTTCTTTTCTTTTTTGTAAATAGCTTTTACTTATTTCTATAATAAGACTTTTGGAGAAATTTGTATACACTTCAATACTTTGTACAGAGTCAAGCAATAAATTTAATTTAGTTTGTTATTTTTTTCTACTTTTTTACTTTACTACAATAACCTATTGTCTTGTTCGATTCAAGTGATTGGTTCATTGGTAATAAAGCTAGCTCAATTGGCGGATTTGGTGTTTCTATTTTGGAAGGAAGTTATCAACCTGTTTTTATTCAAATTCGATACAAATAAAATTTAATTACAAAAAAATTCAATTGCTCGTTGATTTTTAGTGGTTCAAAAGTTTTAAGATTTCTTTGGATTTATTAAATCACTGCATTATCCTTTGAGTTCCAATTCTCATATTTTTTAGTTAGCACCCATACGTATTTAGTGGTTTTTGATATATGAGTCCTTTTTTTTCCTTTTTTTTTGTGAGATCTACATCCATTGCATCATTCTAATTTCATTAGAAAATCTAAAGCATAAATAGTCCTTCATCACTTTATAGCTCCTTTCTCTTGACTTGACTATTTTATATATTTGTTTCTTTCCATTCCTAATGCTGATGCCAATATAAATCGTTAAAATTCTATCTTTAACTATACTAGTAATAATCTTTTGAAAACTTCTAGCTTCCTTATAATAATTGTAAATCCATAGAATATCCTTTCTTTCGTTCTTTGCAAGTGTGTTTCATGGCTTTTACAATCTTTTGAACTCTCTTATGCCACAACTAAATAACCGTATTTATGTAATATCCATTTCTAAATTCTGTTAAAACTTGTGCGTTTACCCCACATAAGATTATGCTCAACATTCAAGTTTTAATTTAGCTCTCTGAATCCAACTTGAAATGCTAAAAATTTCTCATCTTTTAATTTGCACACTCCTATTTTTATAAAAAAACTATGACATTTAGAATACATACATGAGAAACATTAACATTTATGATATTATGAATAATCACTATCTTCATTTAACTGATATTTAATTAAAAAAGGGAGACGAGAAATAAGAACAATAGAATCTTGAAAAAAAAATTTATTAGAACAGAATTTTGGACAAGATTGAATAGAGATAGCCAACCATTTTGTAGCTAAAGCAGTGTCCGTGCTGTGCCTTGCATGTTAACAAAATGACGAAAAAGGTTAGGGCCCGTTTGATTGTTGGAAGTTAGAAAACATGGTATGAAAAATTATAAATTTATTAGAGTCTATGAAAGGTGAGTATCCAAATGTTGACAAGAAAAACTTTTAGGATGGTTCGTGCCCCACACTTGCCGATTGCATTTTAATTAGTGAGTTCAAAAAGGGCAAAAGAAAAGACAAGATAAAAATTTTAATTTTAAAATTAATGGAGAAAAGTAAATAATCCTTGAAAATTTTAGAATACTTACAGAGGCAGGATTCATTATTCCTCCAGTTAGGTCAGAACCCAAAACATGAAGGCTCAATTTTGCAATAGATGAAATCCATGTTTTCATAAAAAAGCTTTTAGGATCTTTCTTCTTCAACCCAAGAGAAACCATAACGATCATGAATGTGAGAACTCCTTCCGTTAATGCCCCATGATGAATATTGACATTCATGCGAGCTCCATGCCCTACTATAGGGAAAACTTCTTTAACTAACTTCACCCCTGCAACTGATCCAACTATCTGCAACACAGGAGAAATGTTATAAGCAAACAAAAAATCTAGCCTAGATGCATAAACGTGAAAAGAAAAAGCTTCTTTTATCGTCCAGATGCTAACACTTGTACCTGACTATAAAAATGTTGTAACCAACTAAAATAACGTAAGGAGGAATAAGTTTAACATGAGTAGTACACAATGAGGGGAGAAGATTATGTGAAGGTCTGGGTTTTTAGTATAGTATGCCTATGAAGAGAATATATTGAAAAATTTGTAATATTTTCTAATTAACATTACTGACTTGTATTAAAATATATGTTTTTTTTGTTAAAATAGAGATTTAATGACATGTTTAAAAGTAAATGATTCGTATTGCTGAAAAACCCACTTTGCACTTGCTCTTTCTCTCATTAATGTTTTATTCAAGGTTTTCAAAAACTTAAGTCTCACGCTCTTTTTCTAAAAACCTTTCTTTACCTATCATTAAATTCTTCTTAAATCTATCACTACTCTCTCCATAAATCATTTTTAATTCTGTTACAGAAACAAATATACTATCTCCATCTTTGACTTTCTTCTCCATCAATGTCAACCTGACCGCTCAAAGAAATTGAAAAATTCTATAATTTTTTTTTCTTTTGGAAAAGTTTCTCATTTTGAAGCAGATTGATGGCTTTACTTCAGAACAAGAACTTAAATCAACAACAAAATTAATTTGTTATCATGAGAAGCCATTGTCGAAGGATGCCTGCTTGCCAACTAACGTTAACAAGCATTACATCTTCCGCACCATCTGAAATCTTCAAATAGTCCTATTCTAACAAACAAATTGTTTCTAATCAACTCGTTTAAACAAGTCAAATATTTAATGTTAATGTATTTTTAGGAAGTTGCACAGAGTAAATCATATTTTAATTATTCATTGATATTTTTGCTCATTTATTTTAGTAATAGGTTATAGATAAGTATTGTAAGTTGCTACAACCCACGGATTCCCTTGCCCAGTTGCCTAACACCTATTCAGGGAGCTTTCATTTTGGCTTCATCCAGCTCACTGATCCAAAACACTGTTTTTTCTGACTTAGTGTAACTTCATCAAACTCATAAATCCAATTCGCTATTCTTTCCTTTTTTTTGCACATCAACAACAACATCAAGCCTTTATCCCACTACGTGGGGTCGGCTACATGAATCCTTTGTCTCCATTGTGTCATGTTAAGAGTCAAATTCTGATTTAAATCTAATAAAGAAAGATCATTTCTAATATTTTCTAACCAAAATCTTTTTAGGTCTACCTCTACCTTTTTTAACATAAGTCAAATCTAATTCATCTACTCTCCTAACCAGGTCATCGACAAGCAGCCATTTTATGTGACCAAACCATCTAAAGTGTTTGTCTCTAATCTTATCTTCAACGGGAGCTACTCAAACCTTTTCACGTATACGTTCATTTCATATGCTATATCTAAGAGTAAAGTCAGTCATCCATCCGAGCATCCTCATCTTTGCAACACTTTACTTAATATTATGCTTCTCTTTTAATAGCCAACATTCTACGCCATAAATCATTGCAGGTCTCACCACCATCTTATAAAATTTTCCCTTAAATTTGAGGGGGACTTTTCTATCACACAATAAGCCCGATGCATTCCTCCACTTCAACCATCCAACTTGAATTCTACTAATAATATCCTCATCTATTTCACCATCACTCTAAACAATAGACCCAATATATTTAAAACGTGTACTTTTATTAAAGACTTGATTGCACAAAATCACAATCCCCCCACTAGATCTATTATTACTAAAATTACACTCCATATATTTAAAATGAAAACCTATAGACTCTAAGGTTGACCTTCATAATTCAATTTTACCTTCAACTCCCTCTCTAGTCTTATCAATAAGAAGAATATCATCAGCAAAAAGCATACACCAGGGTACAACCTCTTGCAAATGTCTAGTAAGAGCACTCATGACTAAAGCAAAAAGATATGAGCTTAAGGTTGATCCTTGATGTAATCCAATTGAAATACGAAAATACTTGATCAAACCACATTGTGTTTGAATGCAAGTAACAGCTCGTGCATACATATTATTAATGACTTGAATATAAGTATTATTAACGTCTTTCTTTTCTAGAACTTTCTGATAGACCAGCTGATTTGATGGGGAGGGAATTAGGAAATTTTCTAATTAAGTAGAAACTATTTAGGAAGGTTCTTAATCAAATGGGAATTGTTTAGGAAATTTTTTAATTACATTTGGAAGGGGATTATTTAGGGCAAGATATCTAATTTGAATTCAAAATCTAAGAGGAAATTATTTAGGGAAAGGAGGAATTAAAGGTGATTGTTTAGGAAAGTTATAGTTACAATTGGAAGAGAATTAATTATGGAAATAAATCCAATTTGAATTCAAATATGAGAGGGATTTATATAGGGAAAAGAGGCTGATTTGGGAGGGAATTATGGGAGCCTATTTAAGGCTAACTATAGGGTGATTTCATATTATGTTTGGAGTTTGCTGAAATTTGGGCTCTAACCGAAAGCTAGGGATTTGGGAGAGCCAGATCTTCCTCTTGAATTGAAGATCCAATTGTATATTGCTATTTTCTTAGATATCTTGTAATAAAAATAGTTTTGGTGTGTTTTTCTTCCTAATTTCTTATTGGCATTCACTGATTTCGAGGAAAAGTGCATCCACCTCATGATAAATTGGTATTATAGCACAATCCTTGTACATATGGCACGAAGAAAGGTATAAATGTTAGAAAGGGAGATCAGACAATTGAAATCTGATTTTATAAAGATTTCAGGTTTCGAAAAGCTATGTTCAGTCATCCATTAGAAGATCGATGAGAAATTTGTCAGCATGGAGGAGGTGATAAAGAAGCTTCTTAAGAGCCAAACCAAACCGACAACATCAGAGGTGAGAGCATTGTTGCCTGAACAAGAAAAGGGGAGAAACCCTAATATAGGGATAATAAGGGAGAATCGGGAGGTGAAAATTTTTGGGGAAGATGTTGATCTCCCATTTTCCAGCTCTGATACCATGTAAGAGTTTGAGAGAGCGAGAGAGAACGAGAACAGAGGAATAGAAGGAAAATATAATACTGTCTTATTATCTCAATAGTTGTTACAGAGTATATATAGAAGTAGAGGGATACAAGAGTAAATACAAGCTGGTGTAGTATAAGCTAAATAGTAACGACTGCTCACAGAGATGCCATCTTTGGAATCACTTTGAAGGAGGGGATATGGTGGAGTAAGATTTTTGGTAGAACTGCAGAGTTTGGACGAAAAAGAAGATGGAAAAAAGATAGAAGCATCAGACATTATCCAGTCACTCTACAAGAATATCAAGAAGTGTTCAAGCTAATTCATGGGTTGCTTCCTCCGCGGGAACACAAGCATGTTATCTTTCGGAAGGACAGAGTCTGACATATCAGTGTTCGTCTGTACCATTCTCCCCAACTCCAGGAGGATGAGATGGAGAGATTGATCAAGGAGATACTAGAGGCATGAATCACTCGATCTAATGACAATCCATTTTTCAGTGTAATGCTATTAGTCCAGTGCTTCAACAGCAGTTTCCTTTGTTCCACCTTGAGGACATTGTGGCACTTTGGAAGGGGAGTATTGATAGACCGGCTGATTTGATTGGGAGGGAATTAGGAAGTTTTCTAATTAAGTGGGAACTATTTAGGAATGTTCTTAATCAAAGGGGAATTGCTTAGAAAAATTTTAATTACATTTGGGAGGGAGTTATTTAGGGCAAGAGATCTAATTTGAATTCAAAATCTAAGAGGAAATTATTTAGGAAAAATGAGGGATTAAGGGTGATTGTTTAGGAAAGTTTTAATTACAATTGGGAGGGAATTAATTATGGAAATAAATCTAATTTGAATTCAAATTTAAGAGGGATTTATATAGGGAAAAGTGGCTGATTTGAGGAACTATGGGAGCCTATTTAAGGCTAACTATAGGGTGATTTCATATTATGTTTGGAGTTTGCTGAAATTAGAATTTCTTAGGTTATTTAGGCTCTAGCCGGAAGCTAGGGATTTTGGAGAGCCGGATCTTCTTCTCGAATTGAAGATCTAATTGTACCTTGCTATTTTCTTTCATATATGTTGTAATAAAAATAGTTTTGGTGTGTTTTTCTTCTTAATTTCTTATTGTCATTCGCTGATTTCAAGGAAAAGTGCATCCACATCATATCACTCTCCATAAGCATTTCTCCTGGAACATTACCATGTGCTTTCTCTAAATTAATAAATATCATATGCAGATCTTCCTTATTCTCTCTATACTTCTCCACCAAACCTCTCAATCTCAATAAAAGTAGCTTAAATAGTAGACCCTACCCCGCATAATTCTAAATTGATTTTGAGAAACATTAGTATCATGTCGTAACCTATAGTCCATAACTCACTCCCATTTTTTTGTGCATCATTAAATATAATAAAGATTCAAATTAAACATTCGGTTAATGTCTTTATTATTTTTCCTATCTAGTTGTTCCTCTCTTATTTGTCCATCATGGCTGACAACAGAGAGAGCACCATTTCCGAGGTGACATCCATTACTAGTCCATCCATTCTAATCAAAGACAGCACCATATCAAAAACTACTTTTTCATTATCAGCTATGAGCTTATGATGCACACCCAAATAATGTTTGTCCAATGAATGATCTTTTGCAAAACTTCATTCAAAGATCTCAATCAATGATAATGTTTGTCTATGGGAAAAGAAAATATGATTATTTCACAAGAGAGACTCACACACCCAATGAATGAGAACCAAGCTCTAATCATGGAAGATGACAAATAGCATGGTGATGACATGGATAATGAATAACATGATAAATAAAATTGAAAATTAAATTAGCAAAAATTTCATTCACTTCAAAACCACAAAAGAAATTTGGGATGCAATAAAAGAAAGTTTATCCCATGTTGACAATACCTTGATCATATTTGAGATCAAGGGCATTCTCCACAACCTACGTCAAGATGACAACACCTTCATAGTACATTTCAACTCTAACATGTTATTGACAACAACTAAGAGATCTTTAATGAAATAGAATCAAGAGGCTCAAAATATAGTCAACAATATAAGAAGATGGTGGAACAAGAACTAGTGAATAAATCTCTTTGGTAAATAAAAATGTAGAAAATGTTCAGAAAAAAAAATCTTGAGTATGAAGCCTCTAACAAATATTTGTGAACCCTTCTCTGATATTCAAAGAAAAATATATTGAAAAGGGGTGCCCAACCATGCTAAAAATCTTAACGATGACTAATTTAACCATAGGGTGATACACAAAAGAAGACGACCAAACTGTGGTGTGATATCACAGTAAAAATTATGGACACGCAACAATTATTAGAAGATGCATGAAATTTCCCCCAACTACAAAGCAAGTATAACACAAAACCAGATTCATGGCAACACAGTCACCAACAGGACTCCAAAGTCATCTAACCCAAGTCCATTCAACAAATAGCAAATTGAATTCCTTTAAAAATAGCTTCACAAACACCAAAGTCAAAGCAAACCTATTGATTATTGAATCTATGATAATTCCAGCTCCTGTTGTTCATCAAAAAACAACTCTCTAAATGCTCGCATTATTATACCTAGAAATACAAGGTTCTGGGTTGTCGACTCATGTCCTTATTATCACATTGCTGGTGATGCTACAATTTTCCATGGGCATGAAATATGCTTTACAAATCTCACTATTTGAACCACAAATGGATCTCTTTCAACTTTTGTTGAAATTGGGACTTTCAAAGTATATTATTCTTAAATTGGTGCTTAATACTCCAAAATTAGATTACTACGTTCTTTCCATAAAAAAAATTACAAAATCTCATAAAGAACTAGAAAAGAAATATGCTGTTAAAAATGTATATTATTGCTCACTAATATATCATAATTATTTTTAATGTTGATATTTATTTTGATTATTATTAAATTATGTAATAAGACTTGACATTAATATGTTTTGATTGACCAAACCTAAAGCAAAACAAGTAGAAGCTTATAACGATTGGGAATCAAATATTCCCCGGAATTGTATATAAAAAACTAAATATATGATTAACCTAACACATCAAATTAAATTGAATAAACATGTAGCCACCTATGATGCACAGACACGGACACGACGACACAGATACAACACGACAGGAACATGGGAGTACGGGACATGTAAGTTATTGAAAATATAGGACACGAACACGTGTTGGACACGGTATTATAGTTTTTATATTTAAAAAATAGTGTATAAAAATTAAATAAGTATAATTTTAAAAATAATTTGAAAATAATAAGTCATTTAACTAGAATTTGTGCTTAAAAGTGTCGGTGCATCATAGGTAGCCACCAATATGACTTAAACATAATGAAAATTAATTAAAAAAATTAGATTTATACCCATTAATTATATTAAAATAATCTTGTAATATTTATAATTAAATGTAATAATTATTTTAAATATATAAATAACTAACTTAAATGCAATGATTATCTCACTTGATTTAATTAAAATTTAACTAAGAGTTTTTTTTCATTTTACAAAAATTATTAAATAAAACTGGTTCTAAAATCCTCATATAAATTGCAATAAAACAAAAATAGAACATTTAATCTACTTTGCATTTCTAAAATCAGATTTGCGAGCATAAAATTTAAAATGCAACTATATTCTAAGATATATCAAAATCATAATACAACAAGATTTAATTTACAAAAAAAGGTAACAGTTATTAATTTCGGAATAAAACAAGATGATGTTTGTTTAACTCATTTTATCTCCCCAAAACTTCTCTCAAAGTTTTGATGCATTCGGTTGAAATTCAGTGCTTCTTATAGCACCGAAAGGAATCAATGAGTTAATCAATGAGTTAATCTGCAATCAATGAGTTAATCTGCAAACAGCTTGTGTGATTAGCGGGAATCGGGGCATGCGGTGTCGGGGGACTACACAAAGCACAATTCGGTTTTCTCAAAAAACCAAAACTACTTCTACGTTTTCTTGAGAAAACACAAAGTGATTTTGGTTTTCTTAGTAAAACCTTAGAACGTTTTGCACTTTCTGCCTTCAACCTGAACCCAAAATCGATATGCATTTTTATCCTTTTAAATTTTATTTTATATTACATTTCTTATACTAATTTACGCATAAACGGTGATCCATTTAAAAATTTCACCGCATCTCAAGTCCCTTTTTTGTAATTTTACTATTTCTTTACTAAATAATTAATATTATATTAAAAACAAATTTAAAAATTAGGTTTTGAATAGAAAACTCAAATGAAATTTTGGTTTTCTAACAAAACAGAATTTTGATTTGCTTTTTCTCAAGAAAACGTAAAAAAAATCGGTTTTCTTAGAAAGCCATGTTTCACATTGTATTTTCTGAAAAAAAATGAAATATAATTTTTGGTTTCTGATCCTTTTAAAAGTTCTACTCACCCACGTTCCTTCTCCTTAATAACACGGTTAAACTGACCTTTTAAAAAAATTTCCTATTCAAAACTTGATTGGTGGCCAAGGACTTCAGATATTCATATAGAATAAACTAACGACATCTCAAGAAAACGTAAAAAAAAAAATCGGTTTTCTTAGAAAGCCATATTTCACATTGTGTTTTCTGAAAAAAAAATGAAATATAATTTTTGGTTTCTGATCCTTTTAAAAGTTCTACTCACCCACGTTCCTTCTCCTTAATAACACGGTTAAACTGACCTTTTAAAAAAATTTCCTATTCAAAACTTGATTGGTGGCCAAGGACTTCAGATATTCATATAGAATAAACTAACGACAAATTTACCTCGTTTACTAGATTTAACCCCATTCATGTACTTAAGTCTCTTTCAATAAACTAAGAATTAGGATTAAAGATTTGGGACAATTATGGTATTTTCTTGGCATATAAATTGACTGATTAAGGGATGACATATTTTTATCTCAGCTAAAAAATGTTCATGATCTCCTTAAAAAAATCTAAGATGATGGGATGTAAACCAATGGACACACATATGAACCCAAATTTAAGATGAGTAATGAGGATGGATTCTAGTAATAAAGGAAGATATCAAGGACATGAGAGAAAATCGATTTATCTGGCGTCTAACAAACTGTATATTTACTTAAAAGTTAGCATGGCTGGCAGATTCATAAATAATCCCACAAAAATGCAAATAGGGTTGCTTTTTGAATCCTTTGATAGCTAAAGAAAAATAGTGAAAAAGAAAAATATTTTTGAAAAAATATCACAAGAGATATGGAAGCATTCACTGATGTAAATTGGGGAATTTTTATCATTGGTTGGAGATCAACTACTAGATATTGCACCTATATACAAAGGAACTCAATCACATCAAGAAGAAGAAACAAATGTTTCTAGTGCTAAAGAAAAACTCATGGTGATGTCTCATAATATCTGTGAAGGAACATGAACGTAGGGAATGCTATAAAAATTACAAAGACCAACACTGCAAAGAAGAATTTGACTTTTAACATGACACAATGGAGAAAAAGGATTCATGTAGTTGACCCCATGTAGTGGTACAAAGAATTGATGTTGTTGTTGTATCAACACTGCAAAGAACTTGGTCCTTTATGATCAGACCAAACATATAGAGGTTTATCACAATTTCATCAAGAAAAAAATTGTTGAAATACAATCCAAATTGTTTACACTCCCTGAAATCCTCAAACAACTGATATTCTCATTAAGACCGTTTACTATATCAGCTTCTAGAGTTCAATCTCCAATTTAGGTATGTTTGATATCTACTACCCAACTTGAGTATAAAAATTGGACTGATAGTCAAATGAATGGATTCCCCAATCTTTTCACCAACACTTGTCCAAAGAGCTTCCAATTTTGCTTCATTTAGCTCACTGATCCAAGGCATTTTTTCTTTCCTTCATCGTGTATCATTAAATATAAGAAAGATCTGACTTTAAATATATCAATCCTGCGTTATTCTTTTTCCTATCAGACCATTGCTATTTACGAAAGTGTTTATTTGTTATCCATGGGAAAATCACAAATCAACTCCCCTTGTGTTCTATTTAAACCCAGCTTGAACTCCAAAATTGGTACAAAACTAAATCAATAAAATCTCCTATTTATTTCTCCGATAAATTTACAAAATAAAGTTTTTTTTTTTTGTTAATGAACAATTACAACCTGAGTAGAGTAACAATCAACAGGATATTACAAGGTCTTCAAACAAATACAAAGTTGAGGTTAATTTGCATAACGTTTCCATAAATTTTGGTCAAGTTCCGAAAATATTGGGCTATCAACTAAAAGATTGTGTTATAGTTTCTACTTCCAATAAATAATTACAGAAAAAAATATCTTAATGATTATTATTTTGCACCACTAACTCGGAGTCTTGGCTTTATCAATGCATTAACAGTTTCGGGTCATAAAAACAATCTCCTTTTAAATGCATTTGTAAAATTGTGTACATCAACCCTTCAGTCTAATGTGAGAACTTATGTTTAAATTACCAAAAGCAGTAAATTTCTGACATTGTTTAGTAGTCATAGTTTATTAGAAAAATATTAACACCCTATCCCAAAGTCATGTCAAAAAGAACTACATAGCCTCACGCTACGGCGCCTTTCTGATGCCAAGTAAAACAAAAAGCCTTTGCTTGTCCACATTCAGGAAGCCAGAAGCGAGGGAGCTAATCCGCAGTCTGTACAAGTAAAAGCACCACGTAACGCAACTGATGAACATAAGTAATTACCCCATCGATCCAAAAAGATAAATTGAATAATTGCATAACGATAACCGCTAAATCATAAAAATCCTATCCCAACACAACCTTAATCACCAAAGAAGAAGCAATCACCTGCGTTGGAATTCTCCCAAAGGCAGCGAAAAGAAACCCATCAAGATTTCCAGAAAAGGCCGAGGAGAGAACCGTCAGCGGATTATAAGCACCGCCCCTGCTTACGACGGCAAGCCATGCAAAGAAGAACATATAAAAGACCGAGAGAACAACCTTGAGCGTTTCTCCCTCCGGGCTTCGCCCTAATTGCAGGAAAGAGTACACGAAGATTCTGACGAGTGCACCCGACCAAACCCACATGAAAGACATAATAAGGTCCCAGAATAGAAGCCCTACCCGCACCATTTAGCGGGCCAACGGCGGTGGCGACTTCCTCTACCTCCGGTGATCACCGACGGCATCTAGTCCGAATAATACTGAAGTAGGATCCGTTCCTAACCCTCATCGCCACTAACCATTCAGCAGCATTTCGATGGGTTTGGCTTAAAATATCAAATTTCTTATGTTAAATATTTTTTTTAAGATTGTAATAATTAAATTCTAATAATATTTGAATAAGATTCAAATAAAATTTGTTTAAATTTGAGATTATCTATTATAAAAATTATGTTTATGATAAAATATTATTCGAATTATAATCAAATGTTAATCATATTTATTTGAAATTTTTTTATTAGAAAAAATATTTAAATAAAATATTATTATGAAAGTTAAAAAAATTGTTGGATTACAAGTTGGAATACGGTGTATTCAACATTAGACATAATATAGTAAATTCAAATAACATTTATAGCATATATAGCACAACAAATTAAGGTTTCGTTTGGGACAGCTTTCTTACTGCTTTATAAAACATAGTTCTAGTAAAAAAAAATTGAATATGGATTGAATAAGGTCTGAGTATGATAGATATAACGGAGAGCAATCATAGCATATATAGCACAATGTATTCAATTATAACCAAATCAATTAATATTCATAACGCATGAAAATAATAAACATTAAATCATTGTTAGTTCAAAAATTACAATTGAACCAAAGGCTCAAACTCATAGTGTACTAGTTGTGAACAAATTTGAAAATCTTGATAGGCCTAATTTGAGTGCTCAACCTACCTAAACAAAAAACAATTAACTAATCGAGAAAATTATTATGAAGGCAGTGGCACTTTACAAGTAACTTGATTATAGCCACTAACCCCACCTTAGGTACGCCTATATTAGATCATAGTCTTCTCCCTTTAAAGCCCTTATTTTTTTCTTTGGACGGTCATTGTAATATTACAACTATCATTATTTAATATAGAACCTCCCTAGCATCTTTTTTTTCCGACTAGAAAGATATTTATTCAAACTCTCCTAAACATTGATTGCCATCAAATTGCATCAATTTTTAGGGGAGAAAGCACAAGCCTGTCTCTGAAACCAACTTCATTTCTACATATAAGACGCTTTTGGCGGGGTTTTAACACGTATTTTATCAAAGTACTTAACAAACTCAACTCTTTTATAAGCCTTTGAAGTCTTGAATTTTAAACTTCATTGTAATATTCCTTATGGCATGATGAGTACAAGCCCTATGGTGTGCTTCTAAAAAATATAAGTGATAAAGCAATGACAATATTATCGTGTCTATTAGAGATAAATATCAAAATTTCACTATGCCTATAAACTAGTCTAATCTGGTCGTAAAATATAGCTATGAGTTAATATTTTCTACCATGAATATAATAGTAATGTTTCAACTCATCGTTACCCTCAAATAGCTGCACAACACACATCATTTAGTTGGGGATAAACTCAACTATGATATTAGTAAATCATCAACAATTGAATTCTCAAGGAATAGAGGCTGACTATTGTAGAATGAGAGTTATTCATGTGTTCTTTATATCTTGAATAATTGCTTTAGCCATATGATACATAAATAGTCAGAAAATCATAGTCATTTGTTAGATTCAACTTGATCACAAACTAGAATTAATATCTCTAAATGGACACTTAAGTTTTAAAACATCCATTGAATCACAATCAGCTATATATGCTTGTATGTTCATATTATTATATATTTTTATTAGTCTATGTGAAATATGATTGTGTTGAGCAATCAAATTGTACTATTGTATCGGACCTCAAGTCAATTTCTTGTGCTCGCTGAGGGGGTGAGGAAGGTCCTCCCATAGCTTGGGTTCGAGTGCTTTGTAACAGAATTTTTTTTCTTTTCATATAATGCCCTGGCACTGTATAATCGAGCTCCCCAGCGTTGCAAAGTTTGTTGGGAGAAACGACAGAGAGCGGAGCGTTGCAACGCTATAGATTCAGTGCCGCAGCACTGTGTAGTAATGCAATATTTCGAGATGGACTGAACAGCTTTTTTTCTCATTTTTTCTGAATGGTGGTGTCCCTTGATGTTATTAACCTGTCTTTCTCTTTTGTTTTGTGGGTGAGAACAATGTCATAGAGAAGAGAGTGAGGAGAGAGTGAGAGAGAAGAGAGATATATATATACTTATTTATCCCATTTTTTATAGTGGATTTCTTGATTTGATGAGACTCCGTAAATTTTTTCTCATTTTTGAATTTTTCCACGTTAAATTCTAATGTCCTTTACTTTCCTCTGCACTTTCTATTTTTCTTGTTTGTTTCATTGCAACGTTTTACTTCCATCCACAGCAATTTCTTAATGTGGAATGTCCACATCATCTAATTTTGCACCAGTCCCATTTACCCAATTATTCAAATCCTCTCAGAAGTAGTGTTCACACATCTAGCTGTCTGATGCTTAATGATAAGATACTCTCATTCAAAAAATCAAGATAATTATCTGTAAGTAGCTCAGTTACAGAAATCAATGATCCTTCAAAAGAGCAAAACATCACCTCAAGATAATTATCAACAATTGTCTTGTTAAATATAAGACCAGCTGGGATCGTCGCAGGAAATATTTATCTATATCTTCAACCATTTGCTATTTTTCTATAGATATCCAATCAAATTGTATGTCTTTTTTTCTTTTCTCCTCTATAAAATATAAGAATATTTATGTTTGATTTATCCATAAAAAAACACTTTATAATTATATAACTTCATTGTTTTTTTAACAAGCATAATTTTTGAAAAATTTAAACAAGTCAATTATGAGCATACAAAAGAAAGCTCATCTCCAGACCGAATCGGATATGAACAACTTAATATAACCAAGCCAAGTCCAATCCATGACATACTTGACTCGGCTCAATTATGACTCTAAAATTGTTAATAGATTAAAGCAAACTCTTTACAATGAAATGATACAAAATCCACTATCAAGCATGTATAAGATTTTTATTTGGAACAGCTTTCTTACTGCTTCTTAAAGCAGCTTTTTAGTACCAAAATTTAAATTTACCATCTATGAAATCATAAGCATGTCAACAAATGAGAACAAGCAACAAAAGCTGCATAAGTTTATCTTACAAGTAAAGCATTTATGTGTATAGTTCAAAAGTTCTGTACAGTGGATTTCAAAACAAACTTCAACAAGGACCGTTACTCCATCAAAACCATCATTTCTACAGAAACAATACATTGCAGAATGACATTTTTCCAATGCAGAACATATGGTCCAGAGAAGTTGCAAAGCTACAAATATGTTGTGGTTCACAAGCTATGTACCTTCTGTTGAAAAGTTTTGTTGTTTGGTTGGTTCCTTCGACTGTACTCGTAGCTTTTCAAGAATGGCAAGAACCTCATGCATGTTAGGCCGATTTCTTGAATCATCGTCGAGGCATTGCAAAGCGAGGGCTGCTATTGTCTGAGCTGCTTTCTTCGAATAGCGACCCTCGAGCCTTGTGTCCATGATCCTTAGCATTCTCCTTTTGTCGTCGAGAAATGGCTTTGCCCAGTCCACTAGAGTGTCCTCTGCAGATCCTCTCTCATGATCCAGAGCTCGCCTTCCAGAAAGCAATTCCAACAACACAACTCCAAAGCTGTATATATCACTCTTTATAGATAGGTGACCTGCAATAGAGGAATTTATCATTCAGCATTAATGCAACTTGAATTTTCGTTTGGAGTGACATAATGGAGTTTTTGATAGTAAATAAGGATTTTTTTTTTTTTTTTGGTCAAGCTTTGCTTTCATGAAGGGTTGGTTGGCTTTGTTTCATTTGGCTTATGTTATTCTGCTATTGATGTTAAAAATTATTTTCTCTAACTCAACATCTATTATACCTTTTTCATACTTTTTCAGAAAAAGAATTTCGTAGTACAAAATTTTGAAAAATGATAAAAAAAATTATCATAGAAATGGAGACTGATTTTTATTGGCTGTTTTTTCTACCACAAAAATGGACAAAAAGTTATCTCAAACTAGCTTGAGAATCAGCCACAGAAAGCTATTAATGAAGCATTCATAAAACTCCATTTTTTGGGGGGCATTTAGGCCAATTAAGGCTTCGTTTGGGACGGCTTTTTTACTGCTTCTTAAAGCAGTTTTTTTAAATAAAAATTAAGTTTTTTTCTACTAGAAATTTGTTTTAAGAAGCAGCAAAAAAACATCCCAAACAAAGCCTAAGTCACACTCAAACACATTATATAAGCAAATTCTAAACTCAATACCTCCTAATTGATAGCCACAGCTCCCAATCAACAGATCAAGACGAGTTGCATATAAAACTTCATTCAAAACACAATTTTTTTTTTCTAAACAAAAGTTCTACAACCCTATCCAAAGGAGCTGGCACCTGCTTTATGGCAGCTCGTAAAACTCACTTATATAAAAAAGCTCAACCAAACGAGCTTTAAAGGCTTGCACGTTTGATCCACAACGCTGTTGATAGAAATTCTAAGTCAATACTTAACCATAAGAGAAAGATGCTAGGGATTTTAAATGCATGACTTCTAAACTTATTTATGGCCGACCAGAATTGCTTAGTCAAAAGCCAAACAATTGCGATAACGATAATAATTACATGATTGACTTTTTTGCTCCAGAAATAAAAAATTGAAGAAGGATGATGCCACAGCTTTGATTTCCATTGAAGAAAAAATTTGAAAGGATGAAAATGACAGGCTCCCAAATGATAATCATTTTAATAAGCAATAACAATATAGATATTTTTCATTATAAAATACCCTTTTATGCATACAATGCATTCTATGTTAATCTATGCAATCTAATTTTTGCTCAGTGAAGAAAATGCACTATGTAAACAAAGTAGCTGGTGAACCCATCATTAAGGGAGTTCTTAAAATTTTATTGTATTTTCAACTAGCAGAGATTTTTCTTTAAAAAGGGAAGGCATTTTTATCTAGTATTAGAGAAATTAGGATTGCAAACCTCCACAATCAAATTATGATGAAGTCTATAGTAATAGCAATGGGATGTAGCAACTAGCAATCAATAGGGTCAAAATATACAATGTTTTGTGTATTTATTTTGTGTTGATCTTCTTTTATGTTTTTTGTTCTATGCCACTCTCCACGGTTGAATTAAGCTTTATTTATTTCTTAACATTCTAAGGGACTGTTTGGTAGCACCCAGGATTTGATTTAAGTAGGATTTCGTAAATCCTCTAAATCCTATCTAGTATTAGAGAAATTAGGATTGCAAACCTCCACAATCAAATTATGATGAAGTCTATAGTAACAGCAATGGGATGTAGCAACTAGCAATCAATAGGGTCAAAATATACAATGTTTTGTGTATTTATTTTGTGTTGATCTTCTTTTATGTTTTTTTGTTCTAAGCCACTCTCCACGGTTGATTAAGCTTTATTTATTTCTTAACATTCTAAGGGACAGTTTGGTAGCACCCAGGATTTGATTTAAGTAGGATTTCGTAAATCCTCTAAATCCGGATTTCGGAAATCCTGAGGGGCCTAAATCTTCAAAAATGTTTGGTAACTTTCATGATAAAACCCATTAAATCTCATGTGATTGTTTGGCTATAGATCGGATTTATTGAGCGGACTCTTCCTCTCGAGCCAATGAATTTCGTAAATCCGGCGAAAAACAAGATTTCAGAAATCCGGGATTTAGCATGAAAAGGCGGAATTTTCCGTCTACGGCAGCTTTCATTTCCCGTGAGATTTGGTTTTGCATTTTAGGCCGATTGGCTGGATTTTGCTCAAATCCGGCCTAAATCCTTCTACCAAACAACCCCTAAGCATGAACTTTTTGTAGCCTCTCATGATAATGTACTTGGAAGTTAGATTTAACCTGTGGCAATGTATTCGGGAGCTGCATAACCACGGGTTCCCACCACCCTAGTTGAAACATGAGTCTTGTCTCCAGTGGGACCATTCCTCGCTAACCCAAAATCTGAGAGTTTTGCATTGAAATCCTGCAAACAGCTTATTTGTAAGGTACCTTAAGCGTCTGCAGGATCAATGAGTCTAGCAAGCAATAGTTATGGCAACGCAAAAATATACCGAGTCAAGAAGAATATTTGATGCTTTCAGATCTCGATATATCACTTGTGTCTCCAAGCCATGCAGGAAAGATAATCCTTGAGCAACATCAATTGCAATGTTAACTCTCATAGCCCAAGATATCTGCTGAGCCCCCCCTGCAAGATAAAAAAATGAACCAACAAATCAAATCAATAAGCTATGTGGAGTTAAATACTCACCACTACAAACGATCTATCTGCATTAGAATACTTCAAATATTTTTTTACAAATTTAGTGAAAAGAAATCATAATGATGAGCAGCACATTAAGTATTAATCTATAGTTTTGTTGAGAAGATAAAAATGTAAACGTGCCGTTGGGACTTGGGATCATTATTTATAACTGAATTGAAAGAAAGCAAGTAAACTCCCTAACATATCTGTCTGTTTTGTAAAGTAAAAAATTTACTATGGAAATTTGCAGGATAAGAATTCAATTCATAAATGGCAACTTCTGATGAGGATCTCAAAGCCTCAACATGATAATCATACTTTTAATGCTGTAAAAAAAAAAGGCATTAATGGAAGGGAAATTAAATCAGAAGCATACTTTTAAAAAGATGGTTCTCCAAGCTTCCTCTTTGCATGTATTCATAGACTAGAAGTTTGTTGTCAGAATCTGAGCAGTACCCAATGAGCTTCACCAGATTTTTATGACGAAGCTGGCCTAGATATGTCACTTCCGCCTGTAAGTCAACAATCGAGCTCAGTTAGACGAAGATGCACTTTTCTTTTTATAAAAACAGGCCAAAAATATGCACATTGGAACATACAAGCCATTCTTTGTGTCCTTGAAAGCTTTCCCGTTTAAATTTCTTGATAGCAACAACGATGCCAACACCAGGTTTTGTGGGAGCATGAGAGCTCTCATCAATCCACCCTTTAAAGACTATTCCAAATCCTCCTTCGCCAAGATAAGAATCTGAACGGAAGTTCTTAGTCGCGGCTTTGAGGTCATTCAAGGTAAAGGACTTTAAGCTCGTTGTAGGCAACGATGCATCACTTCTGAATGATGAAATGGAGCTAGCAATAGCCGTTAAGGTTGTTTTGCTTGAAGCCGTTGAGCTGGTAGTATTACTGCAATGCAGTGAATTTTCTGAACGAAAAATGACAATTCTTATTTGGAAATTACATAGAAATAATTCATAGAAAGAAAATCAATAATAGTTCATTAAAGGAAATCAAATGATACAAGAGGATTGAACACCAGAACTACCAAGAATATACATTGAAATGGGCAAGAAAAGATAACAGCAGCTGAAATTTTTACTTATTTCCTCACATGAAGCGATGAAGAAGACAAATGTGCAAGTATAAAAACCAAGCTTTACGCATGAAGCTGATACAATAATCTAAACAAAGGTAAAGATATTAATATTTCCAAGCATTGTGATTACCAAAGCTTCTCATAATTTCAAATTGCTTCTCAACATAGAGTGCATATGTGCTTACGCAACCATCAGAAGTTACTTCTAATACAGATGTTAAAGGACCAGTTAGCCCATGAACAACAAGCTTTTTATTGCGGGATTGATAAGACACATTTTGGAGATCATCTCATACGAGAGATTATCATGTAAGTAGTCCGGACGCGTCTAGAGGCCAATCCAAACTTTCCACGTCACCCAATGCACTGTGTATTGGTGACGTGGTGCATCTAGATTGGCCTCCTGACTCGTCCAGACACCACGCGTAATAATTTTTCCATCTCATAGAAGGTTCAAATACAGTGTTAGGATTAATTAACAAATGAAGTACACTTTTTTTTCTTTAAAAATAAAGCAGTGAAGACCATTTTAAACCTATTTCCTTCCATATGTTATTAATCCAACCATATAACGGAATGAAATTCTAGTACATGTTTAACCATTTTTTTAGATGTCTAGTGTCAGATGAAACACCTTTCTGATGTTAATTATAATAGAATACTACAGGCTTATAGTAAGTAATGCATATTGACCTGAAATTTTATAAAATATACCATATGCCAATCCATCTAATCCCCCAAAACTTATAAATAGCGAAGCTTACATATATACTTGAGACCTTGATATATTAAATAGATCCCCAACAAGCAATAAGAAATCAATGCATCTCATTCAAGTGATTAGCTACAACTCTTTTAAAATATGCAAGAATCAAAGTACTTACGGTAACTCTACTGATGTTCCAGATCACATTATGGATAAAAAAATCCTAAATTCAGGTAAAAACTAGGATCTATAACAATTGAGATGATTTTCAACTTATTTAAAGAGCTCTCTATCTACAGCAGCTGCTCTATTAGCAAATCTTAGCGCAGACTGAAGTTCCATGGCTGCACAAAGGTTCTTCAACCAAAGTAAGAAAGTAAATGTAACCATAGAACGATGGCACGCCACCGTTGATCAGAAAAGGAAGAGGAAGGCGAGGGGAGGATCACAGCTTCAAACTCAAAAAGGAATAACAACAAAAGCAAACCCTAATAACAACTCAGAATCTTGAATCCTACAAAAGCGCTCATAAAAATCCCACCTTTAATCCATTTCCAAACATAAAATAGAGAGAGAGTAAAAAAAGCTTTAAAAAGCCGTACTCGAAGCAAACGGTGAGGAAGAGTTGGCGCATTTAGCCGATCTCCCGTAGCAGTTTCCCATCGGCGGCGCCACCGTTCTCTAACGGAGGAAACCATTAATTCCAAACAAATATAAAAGAGGAAAGAAAATATGAACAGTTTAAATGGGAGGGAGCCCTCTTCTTTGACTGCAGACATCAGTCAAAGCTTTAAAGCGGAATCCGCCACTACGGTGACCTCCGTATAAGACAGAAAAGCGAAAGCAAGGAACTTAAAGGCACCGAGATCATCCGCTGGCCCAGCAAAGATAGAAAATTCTCGCCGCTGTCTATCTGTCAATTCCCCAGCGCACAAATTTGAAACGCTGAAGCTTACCAACAAGCTTAAATTTAAAAGTGGGATCTTTTTTCCAAACAGTAGAGCTCATCGATACGTTGGACCACTGCCATCCAGAAAATCGTTGAAACTGCGACCTAACCAAAAGAAAACTGCATTATGATGAACATCACTCCGGATATCATGGAAAATATCTAGATTGGATCTCTGAATTAAATTTAAACAAAAGAAAATTTCAAAATTATTAAATTTATTTCTAACAGGAGCTCATCAAATTTTGCAGCTGAATTTATTTCTAAGATTTTTTTGATATAACTGTACATTTTGATGTTTATATTTGATAAGATTTTTGAATACTTCACACGATTTATGTCTTCTAATATTTTTTGATGACTCATACCTTCTAAAGTTTTTGCCTTCTTAGATTTTTAGATGAGTGAAAATAATGCCTTATTTTGGTGTTAAAACTGCATTATTTTTTTGATATTCCTTTAGGGGGATTTAGTAGATGGAATTTGAAAAAAAAAAAAAAAAAAACTTCATTGATAATACAATTTTAATAGAAATATAAACCTTTATCTCTAATAGAAATAATTCTCTTAGAAATTCTAAAGAGAAAATAATGCTCTGGTGATAGGATTTTTCATATTGGGCAAATAAATTGTGATGGTCTTCTTATTCTTCAATAATTTTGATATTTTTTTATCATGACTTTTTTGGCCTTTTATTTTGAAGTTGTAGATCTACATATTGCTCTTGTAAATATTTGTCCAAGAGCCCTTAATTATACATTCAATCTCTTCTTTCAAATGAATACATCTTTTTATTCAATGCCCTCTTAAATGATGTTGAATGTTGAGATTGATCTATGCAAGTTCTTACCCATTTGAGACATTTAAAATTATGAATTTCCATTTTAAAATTAGTCATAGATGTGCTTAATTGGGAGTTAGATTTAGGTTCACAACTCAAGCGATCTGACTTTCTCTGCGTTGAACAAGCACGGAAGCAGAGGCGCCAATGGGTCACTTCAATCTAAGACTCATTTTAAAATAAATTAGTCTTAAAATAAATTTAATGACTTTGAGGTTCATCTTAAACTTATTCTTATTGTTATTATTCTTAGAATGATACCAATGTGAAAACATTAAAAAAATTTCAATCTATTTTGGTTTGAAGGAATTGGAAAAAATGTGAAAAAAAGAAAAAAATTCAAATGATAATTAAAATTAGGCTTCATTTGTGACAATTTTCTTACTGTGCTCTAGAGCAACATTTTAATATAAAATTTTCTAATTCCAAAAATTTTTATACATAAAAATTATTTTAAAATAAATTTAATGACTTTGCGGTCCACCTTAAACTTATTATTATTATTATTCTTATAATGATACCAATGTAAAAACATTAAAAAAAAAATCAATCTATTTTGGTTTCAATGATAAATTGATCATTTCTTTATATTTCTCACTAAATTTGAGGAAGGAATAAGTTCTTTATTAATTAAACTATAAAAAAAAATTATTGAAACTAAATAATTAATATAAACTTATGAGGTAAAATAAATTTACATTACTTGCAATTTCTTCAAACCAAACAGAGCCTCAAGACTTTTTATGTTGAAAGAACTACCACCACTTAGCCAATATTCTAATTTTGGTCCACAAAGCCTCTCAATAATTCATTTTGACACTGATTTTTATAAATTATTATTTTCAAATTAATAAATATTCCTATATTTTGCAGACTATTATCATGTCAAAATAACTACTTAATACTATCTAGATTATCATCTTATTAAAATAAATAAATAAATTTCGATGTAAATATCCTGCATTAAAACAAATATTATTTTGAATTGAGTTTAACTAAATTTCCTCATGCAATATTTTTCCCTATCACTTGAGCTTGCAATAGGGGTTTAATGCGCCAAGCAAGCTCATCAGCCCGCTCGAGCTTGACTCACTATTGAGCTCATGAGTTGAGCTTATCAAGCCAAGAGTTCAAGCTCAAATTCGAGCTCATATATTATACGAGTTTAAGCTCGCGCTTGACCTACTCGATTGAGATTAATTAATATATTGATATTTGCATTAGCCTGATTAATTTTTTTGTCCATATTCAAGATAAAAAATCAAGCTCCAAAATGATTCAATTTTGAGCTTTCTTATTGATTGATGACTATTTTTCACTCGAGTCAAGCCCAAGCTTAATAAATGAGCTCAAGTCAAGCTCGAGCTTGAGCTCAAGCTCAACATAAATTAAACGAATTTGACTCGATCAAGCAAAAGCTTAACTTGACTGGCTTACCATCCTAGCTTCTAGTAACCAATTCCATGCAGTGATTTTTCACATAACAGATCCATAATTCAAGAATTTGTATAGAGACAACCAGGACTTTTGGCCTTAACTTTACTACTAAAAAGTTAAAATGCTGACTGCTGCTCTTGAGCTATTATTCTGTGCGGACGTCAAACGCCGTCCAATGCGCCACATTACCCCTTCGCTCGATACTCTTCGGTACTGTGACTCGGTACCGCTGACATGACGCATTCTAATTGATCTCTAAACGACGTTTTGCATCCAGCCTCCACATAGAATAATTTCTCGCTGTTCTCTGCATTATTCAGGATAGCAACCAGCAAATCTGCTCGCATGAAATAGTTTGAATTTGAGCTATTGCTAAAAAAACAATACATTTATGGCCTGATAAAGAAGAAAAAAATCAGCTTGATCTGACAAAGAAGAGGAAAAATCACCTGATTGATTTATTTCTTTTCATTTAATGAATCAAATCATATAGCTATCATAAGTCCATATCATAAGCAACCAACATTGACCGGCATTCATTGATGAAATAATTGGTTCATTCACTCTTACACAGGAAATAAATTGATCAGCAAAGTTTCCTTTGTTTTTTTGTGCTGCAAATGTTCTTTGCTTCCAAGTTTGTTTCACCTGCTTCACATGCAATAAACCCACAAAGAAGCTAAGTATGAGATGCCATTATCTTGGCCTTGGTGACCAAGCAAGGTATAAAGTTCATAAGCAACACTTCATTGAGTCAAATATATATATAAAGTTACAAAGTTTCAGCAGAATTTCTGCTACAAGCTATCAAATTTTTTTGTCAAAAGTATGCTTCTTAACCTTGTAAAGAAAAAGAGAAATACAATCCAGTAACTATGATTTTGAGCTGATCTGATCCTAACTTTCAGATAAGTAATAGAACACAAATGGTCTGATAGCTTGCAATAGTGGTAAGGAAGATATTTTTATATAACTTTAAGAAATTAAAGAGACAAAAAACAATCAAAGAGTTGGAAAATCCTCACAAATTTGATGAGGAGCATTCCACTGAAGAGTATTGTTGACACCTTCTAAAGTCCCAGGCTTCATTTTACTTTGATCACATCTTGGATCATGAGTTTTAGCATCTATGCTCATCCTTCTCAAAGAATGCTCAATGGACTGAACACATTAAAGAAAAAAAGAAAGAAAGATTAGCTGAATGAAAACAAGAGAAAGAGATAAAGAGAGAGAGAGAATATATGAATAAATTACATGCAAATGATGAGAAAGTAGCTCAAAGTGCACAAGCAATAATGCCAAGAACAACTTGGCAATCAAGTCTCTAAATAATCTCACATAGGCTGTAATGTAACAAGTAGATTAACTGGCTAATCTGTCATTTCGACCTAATTGATTTGTTTTCCCCTTATCTGATTAGTGGAAAGGGAGAGGTAATCCCCATGCTAATAACATCTTAATCACAACATGATACATCAAGAGGGCTGGAATGGGATTGGCAGACTAGGCCCCAAATCCAACAAAAATAAAACCAATAAGAATTTGCATCCTAGATCTCAATAAAAGATACAAAAGCTCAATGCCACCTTCAAAATTTATTGAGATGAAAGAATAATTTTACTTATTACTAATAAAATCCAGAATAATTTGAAGAGAGCAAGTAGGGGTGTATGAGCTAATCTTGAGTGAGCTCAAGAGTAGTTCAACTTAGATGATTAAGGAAACTAACCAAAAAATTTTGTTTGTGCATGTCTTGTTAATTTATCAAGCCAAACATAAATTGTTCACCAATATAAAGTCTGCTTAAAATCATATATAAACTTGAAAACCTAAAAGTTGTTAACACTCTGAAAGAACAATTCTTTTGAATATTGATCTAAAGAAAGGATCCAGGAGACAGCCTATAAATGCCCCCAACAAGCAGTGCCAACTTCTCCTACCTAACTTACCATGCTAATCCACATCACTAATGGTTCATAAATTATCATCCAAGATGGACCAGCTTCTTCAATTCCATTTGCTAATTATAGCCTCACTTCTTGTACATGTCACATCAGAGATCCCAGAGGTAATGAGGATCATGAATTATGCATTTTTTTTTTAAATAATTCAATGATACCTTGGAATTCTGCCATCTCTCTTCAAATCATCACACATTTCTATCAAACGAACAGGCATATGTTGTTTATATGGGGAGCGCTGGAACTGAAGGAGCACCAAATCCAGCAGACATGGAAGCAGAACAGCTGAAAATGCTATCATCCATCATTCCAAGGCATTATTTTTTTGACAGAAACTTCTATTTGTCTTCTGCAATTTTAAGAAACTAACAAGTTGCTGACACTCTAATGCATGTCCAGTGAGGAGAAAGAAAGGATAAACCTGATTCAAAGCTATAGTCATGCATTCAAGGGATTCTCAGCAAAGCTTACTAAAAAGGAAGCCAATATTTTGTCAAGTATTGTCACCATTTTTCTCTTTTTAAACCAAACGCATAATCATTCAGAACAATCTCATCAGAATATATATGATGTATCAGATATCTAAAATTACAACAGCACAGTAGTACTGCCTATATTTTGTCTTGAGCAATAATTAAAACTTTGCTAACTGAAAACAGAACAAGATGAAGTGGTATCTGTGTTCCGGGATCGAATTCTTCAACTCCACACGACACGTTCTTGGGACTTTCTAGAGACTGAATCAGGACTGGGATCAGAAAGAGCACACCGTAGAGCAACCAATGATGTAATAATTGGAATTATAGACACGGGTATGATTCCCTATCTATTTTCTAATCGAAAAATTAGTATTCTTACATGAAAGCACCAGTGAATTCATGTCATATAAAAAAATGAGGTAGATATGCTTCCATGATCATAGAATGAATATCTTGTATTAATGGTTAACACTTTAACCTACTTGCAATCTTATTTCTGAACTTGAAGGAATCTGGCCAGAGTCACCCAGTTTTGATGATAAAGGAATGACTGCAATTCCATCTAGGTGGAAAGGAACTTGTATTGAAGGGTTTGACTTCAAAAGGTCCAACTGCAACAGGTAAATTTGTTAACCAGTGGCTATCAACGTGATCTTAAACTAGAATTTCATTATTTTACAAGGACCAAATTTATCAAGAGATTGCTATCTTACTTGCATGGCAGAAAGTTGATTGGGGCAAGATATTACAGTGGTCAACTTGACTCGATTCCTTTCTCATCAAGCAGCAGCAACGGCACTCATAGCATTGCCTTTACTGGATCACCAAGAGACACAATAGGCCATGGCACACACACAGCCTCCACTGCTGCTGGCTCAACAGTAGTCAATGCAAGCTACTATGGATTAGCCCAAGGAGTGGCAAAAGGTGGCGCAGCGTTGAGTCGCCTAGCCATATACAAGACTTGCTCACTTGGAGGTTGTGCTAGCTCTGCTGTGCTGAAGGCTATTGATGATGCCATTAGTGATGGAGTAGACATAATCTCAGTATCCCTCGGCATGAGCTCAGTGTTCCAGTCAGATTTTCTCAGTGATCCCATAGCCATTGGAGCATTCCATGCCAACCAAAAAGGAATACTGGTAGTTTGCTCAGGTGGTAATGATGGACCGGACCCCTTCACAGTGGTGAATACAGCTCCATGGGTATTAACTGTTGCAGCCTCTAGCATTGATAGGAGGTTCCAGTCCGCCATCATTCTAGGCAATGCAGAAGTTATTGAGGTAGATATTGCACAATACATATATTTTATTTGGTTTTCATTACCTTCCAAATTTCTTGTGGACTTTCTTCATCTGAGTAATTTCATCATACTTGTAAAATACTGCAACAGAAGAGCAAACCTTGTAGATCAATATTAGAAATAACAGTGCTTACAGAGCTCGAAATGTTTAGCAAAACTGAAATGATTATTTTCAATCAAAGTTGATAGTGAATACGTTTGCCTAACATGCAAATCTTTTCCATTAGCATGATCGTAGTAGTACTCACACTGATTCAATGGCAAGGGTAACTTTTTTTGGCAAACTTGTGTGTAATTCATCCCAGGGAGTTGCCATAAACTTCTCAAATCATACTCGATTGGAATCATATCCTCTCATCTTCGGCGCTGATGCTGCAGGAGACTTTACTCCAGTGTCGGAAGCGAGGTATTTCTCCAGCTAAACTTTCCCAATCAGCACACAAAATCTGCTGAAGTATCATATCATTCACATTTGTCATGTTCTATACAAATATTCCTTGTCTACAAGTATGCATAATTGAATATAGTTCTCATGTCTCCTCAATCGTTTTGAATCACAGCAACTGCTATCCTGGGTCACTGGACACAAAAAAAACCGCAGGTAAGATAATTATATGTGTGGATAGTGATCCATCAGTAACAAGGAGAGTGAAAAAATTGGTTGCCGAAGATGCTGGAGCTAAAGGACTAATCCTCATTGATGAGGCCGAGAAAGGGATCCCTTTTGACTCTGGCAGCTTTGCCTTTTCAGAAATTGGTAATGAGGCCGGAGCTCAGATCCTTGAGTACATGAAGTCTACCAAGTAAGCCAACGAAAAGACCAAACTTGACAATCTTTACAAGTTCCAATTGTCTATTGCACTTGAAAATAATAAAATACAAAATTAGGTTTCCTACCGCCATCATCCTTCCAACAATCAATGTAGATCAGATTACACCTGCACCTGTTGTTGCCTACTTCTCTTCCCGGGGACCTGGAGGGCTAACAGAGTCAATTTTGAAGGTTACAATTTTTTACCCAAAACTTGCCCCAAATTCTGAATAAAGTTATTTTAAATACATTCTTGATCCACATTGTTGTTGCCATGTTAACAGCCAGATGTGATGGCTCCGGGAGTTAGCATTCTGGCAGCAGCCATGCCAATTGCAAACAGGGAAACCACACCTGAGGGGAAGAAACCCTCAAGTTTTGCAATAAAATCAGGGACTTCAATGGCCTGCCCACATGTTGCAGGCGCAGCTGCTTTTGTTAGGTCTGCACATCCAAGGTGGAGCCCCTCTATGATTAGATCAGCTCTCATGACCACAGGTAAATAAATTGCGTCAGTATATTAGATATAGATAATCAACAAAGGCTTCAAAATTAAGATTGTATGTCTCAATAAAAATGGCAAATCTAGCTATTGCATAATTTTCAATATAATTTTTGCATCTCAGAGCACTCAAAAGCTATCCAAAAACTTTTATAAAGCAAACACATTCTACTTCCTCAAGTCACGCTTATGCGCAACCAGGAGGACGCATCTAGACAGTCAACTCAACCCCCTGGCACCCTCTCCCCGCAAGCAACCCAAATGCGATCCCGTATTGTGCGCAGTTCATCATTCTATATCCAAACTTCTCACAGTTCTTAAAACTTATAAATGATTGATTTGCAAGTCATTAGTAGCATTGGATTGCACTTGGGAAGACAAACATTTTCCCTAAAAATTATATCCTTTCAGAGCCATTTTGAACAGCTAAAATCTAGGTCTCAACATTTAGAAATTGTTGCGACTCCTACCAACATGCCTTTGATTTGAAAGTCATTCACAGCATTGGAATTCCCTTGGAGAAATTAACATTTTATGCCAAGTTTCTGGCTTATTACTATCATTTTTCGATGTCCCTTAAACTACACATTTCCAGAATCATTCTAATATCAAAATTTTGATAAATTGATTTCATTAGATTTGTGGCATCAAGACCTTTGAAATGTTGCCCTCGCTTGCCAATCAAGGAATTTGCCAACGGCGGATGTTGCACTATAGTTGGATCACATCCATTGAACTCAGACCGACCACCAAGACCAAGAAAGAGAGGGTAGAGAGACTAGTATCCTTTTAGAAGAATATGAACTCTTATACACACACATCTTATATTATTCATCACCATCTTTCAAAGGGAATTTTTTAAACAAAATTCAGCTAGTTAATTATCACCATCAGAACTCCAAAAGCAGCTACTTCATATATATAAACACTAGTACAATGTCTATTTTATTTGGCAAGCATGAACTGTGCTTAAAATCACAAGCGCTTATTGTTACCATATGTTAAAACTAAATAGTAAAACCAAGTCTAAAATTCAGAACCCTTGGATACCAAGCCAAAGCTCCAAATGTTATGGATACTAATCTTACTTGTTTCTCATGCCAGCAAAGACTACAAATAATCTCAGGAAGACTTTAACAACTAGCTCAGGAGCAAATGCCAACTATCATGATATGGGGGCAGGAGAGATTAGCCCACTAAGCGCCTTAAGCCCAGGGCTTGTTTTCGACACAAAAACAGAAGACTATTTGTATTTTCTCTGTTACTATGGATACAAGAACGAGGTCATCAGATCACTTGTTGGCAACAGAAAGTTCAATTGTCCACCAAACTTGTCTACTGACCTCATCTCAGAGCTCAATTACCCATCCATCTCCATCGCGACACTCGACAAGGCATTTGGTGGGGTAAGAACTGTGCAGAGGAGTGTGATCAATGTTGGGCCAGCTAACTGCACATATGTGGTGCAGGTCGACGCCCCTAGAGGGCTTAGTGTGAATATCTGGCCTGAGAAACTCTTCTTTGAGAGGAGAGGGATGAAAGCTTCATACCAAGTTACTTTTGATGGAAAAAACGCAGGAAAGGGATATTGTTTCGGGTCATTGACTTGGTCAGATGGGGCTCACTTGGTTCGAACTGTGTTTGCCATTAATGTCATTTGATTTTTATTTGAAGATTTCTTTCTTTCTAAAAAGAACAAAATGTAGAAGAATACAGAGCTAGAAAATTTCGGTATTTGGTTATTGTTTGTAGTTTGTTCAAATTTCATTTTTCCTTGGGTGCTTTCAGCAGAGCATTGTTTTTGCAAATATATTAATTCTTGTGATGGACAAAGCATACAAAAATCATGTAGCTACAATATGAGTTTTATTTTACCAACTTAGGTTACACATGTTCAATGGATCAAGCTTCTATTCCCTCAATTCTATTTTTGGTACTCGTTTGTATATTGTTCTAACTGCAAGATTATCCAGGCCTGTTGTTGCTAGTGTTGGTGGAAATTAATACTACTAAGAGTTTTTCTAATTTTTCGGATTAGTTCCCAAGGATTTGGTTACTGGTATTCGGTTGAGTTTGAGAACATTTCAAGGATCTATTCAATATTTTACAAGATTCTCGGCCATTAAAGGCTACTAACCATAGTAAAAATCCTGTTATGTACCAAAAAACTAAAGAAAAAGATTACATTCTTTTGGTTAATCCTCTTTATCTTACTAATTCAAATAGAGCTACTGCCCCTTCTCCTCTTTTAGAGAATATAGAATCATTCCCTCAATTGCCTGAGTTGTCTCCAAAACAGTTCAAAATGCTAATCATAGGTTTCGTTTGGGACGGCTTTCTTAATACTTCTTAAAGCAGCTTTCTAGTACAAAAGATCTAATTTTATATAAAAAATTGCTTCAGGAAGCAGGAAGCAGGAAGAAAGTCGTCCCAAACGAAACCATAATCTCACCATATTAGAGAATGTGAGCCAATCCATACAGATTTCTTCTTCCATCCTCCTAGCAAATATTGGGGGCATATGTAAAAATAGACATTATGCTAAAACTTTGAAGCCCACCAAAAACTCTTCAAAGTGAAAAACAAAAAAAATTGAAAAACAAAATGTAACAGGAGCCATAATAATCGAACTTTTCTGTTATAAAATATCAAATAAATGGATTATATTTCATAAGAATTAATCATTTTCCAATAAGTTATCCAATTCCCAGCTCACAAATCCAATGTTCTTAAACAACGAACACATTAAGGTTTTGCTTGAGACGGTTTTCTTGTTGCTTCTCAAAGCTGCTTTAAGAAGTAATAAGAATGCCGTCTCAAATGAAGCTTAAATTACCTAGTTGGAGCCATTGTCTTCCTGGATTTTTCTTGGGAAGTTATCATTGCGCAATTAATTGATGTTAAAGACTCGAACATAACTTCCCACTGAGTATATGAAACAAAGACGCCATTCTCGATCATATAATTCAAATACCCCAGCGCTTCCTTTGATCTCCCACACAAATGCAAATTTCTCACGAGTACAAGATACAGATCAACACTTGCTGCAAACTTTTCTCTCCTCATCTCTTCAAGAACAGTAGTTGCCTTCTCTATCATTCCCACTCTCAAAAAACCGTTGATCATAATTGCATAAGTAGAACCATCAGGCCTCAAAAAGGCACATAAAGTACCCAACTTGATTCCTTCAAAGATATCCATTGCCTTTTCTGTCTTCCCATCTTCCCAATATCTCTTCATTATCAGGTTCCAAACCCATGCAGTTAGAACATATCCCTCATTCACAAGATCACATCCAAGCTCATAGCCGTCATCAACTCTGTCAATGCCACAGAGACAAACGATAACTGTGGTAGCAAGATCTCCTACAGAGACACCCCTTCTCTTCCTCTCAGCATTGAAAAACCTGATAGCCTCTTCATGCCGACCAGCACTGAATAGAGCATTTACAAAGGACTTCATCACACAAACCCCTGTTACTAAATATTTCCTCGTGGCTTCTTTCAGCAAGCTCTCCGCCTCCTCCAGCCTTCCATAGCTGCACAAGGATCGAAAGTAGGCTTCAAATGCCATTGTCTCAGATATCATATTTGAAGAGCTTAGCTGAAAGATAATCCTCCTTCCAGGTTTTACATTAGTACCCAAACTTGAACCATGCCGTTTAGCACTCCTCGACATTTTATCGAACAGCTTACGTGCCTCTCTAAATTTCCCAGCTTTACACAAGCAACCAAGAAAATCCTCATACACTAACAAATCCAACCCACAATTTATCAAACCATACATCTCTTTCAGCATTGAATCAGCCCCAGATAAATCCCCGATTCTGCAAAAGCTCCCAAATACAGTGTAGTAACTCAAGTCATCAACTTCCAAAGCCCTCTCCACCATTCCCCTCAATACCTCTCGAGCCAAACCAGGATCAGGGTTCTTCTTCAAACAAAGTGCGCCAATCAGCGCAGTGGAGGCATTGCGGCTTAGCTCCCACTGACACGACAAAAGCCGGCGGCAGAGGGGCTCTACATCCAAAGTATCATCACACCGCATGCTAGCATAGAACACGAATCTCTCCAAAGTAGATTCACCAAACACCTCACTCCACGCGCACTCCACATCGCGGATGTGGCTTCGAGGCAGCAGGCATTGGAGAACGATGGTGTAGAGGAACAAAATGGGAATTTGGCCTCTTTGCCTGAGGGAAGATAGCAGGTTTTTGGCTCGAGTGAGCTTATTGGACTGGGCGAGGCCACGAAGGACAAGGACAGAGGCTGTGGAGTCGAGGAGGTGAGATTGGGTTAGAATGGAGTCAACCAAAGATAGAATTTTGGGGTTGTTAGGGTTTTTGGATAGGTTAGCGAAGAGGGTGAGAAGGTCAGCAGAGAGATCAGAGTAGAAATGGATCGCCTGATTGAGGTGGAGCGAGCGGCGGGAAGCGGCAGGCGCGGCGGAGGCTTTATAGTAAAAGTAGAAAGGACGAAGGTGAGAGAGCAACGATCGGAAAAGGGCTACACTTTGTCTCATTTCAAATGCAACCGAACCGGCAAGACCGCCCACATATTTCTGGTTTTAAGTATTATTTGTAGATTTGCATGCCAATTTTATATATCTAACATTTAAATTTTATTATTTCTATAATCTAACATTTTATTAACTTTATTAATATCATATGGTACACAATCTAATCTTTTGATGCTTTTGGACATATTATCTCGACTCGTCAATGCCCTTACTGAGAGCTCTGTCAAATCTTGTCATCACTCATCATTAGGTCCATCGATGCGTTCTCATATTGCATAGACCTATTGATGCCCTCGTCTGCAAGCTTCAATGCGAGACGAACGAAGATGAGATGATCGAGAGCGAGTGTGACGGCAATGGGATTGGTAATACGGTGACTGTGTGACGATAATTTTAGTGGTTATGTATGAAAATATATTTAAAATGATACATTCAAATTACTTTTAATTTTTTAAATGTATATAGTTTAAAAACATCCAACCAAACAACTATTTTGATAATTTTACTAAAACATATATTTGTAGTAGCCATGGTCTAACCTACAATGATGCATCTTTATTCAAATAAAGATGTACTATTATTTATTAAAGAAGGTTTAATTGATTATTTAAATAAAAACTTATTTGAAATATGTATCTTTATCTCAAGATATAAATTCTAATGAGATGAGTTGCTCAACCTTTTAAGTTAATTCTATGATGGCATTTCCTATTTATATTTTAATATTGTTACTACCATAAATTTACATTATATTCTTATATGAAGCAGATATCCTTGAAGAATTAGATATTAAATCTTTTACTTAAACTTTTTTTTTTTAATATTAAAATCTCCTCTTGAATGATGAAAATGATAATATTGAGATTCGTCTCTTGTGATTTAGATTCTTTAAATATTTTGGCACTTGAGGTGTTCATAGTTTTTATATCTTCATAAAGATGTTAGCCATGAATGAATTTAATGGCTTGTAATTGGGGGAAATGGGATGGATTTCATAAGAAGGGTGTTTATAGTCTCTTAGGCTTCCCCTTTTTTTTTTTGTTCAAAATATAGATCAATTTCTTATTATGAATTCTTACATTTGCTTAACGATTATCTGAATTACTTTCGCTAAATGTTGATGGATTTATTAGCAGTTATTTGTGCTTCTACTCAATGAATAAGATCAACATGTTTGCAAATTATCTCCTTCATCAATGAGTAGTATAAAGATCCATGGCAAAGATCTCTAATAAAAACATCTCTTAGTAACTCTATATCCACTTTTGAAATTTGCATGCTTCAAAAGAGAATCTTTGAAAGTAATTCTTACGAGTATCTCCCTCATTTTGGTGAATCCTAAAAAGATGGCAGGAGTACTTGATAATTCTTGAGTTGGTGATGAATTGTTATATATAAAAAATATAACTAGATTGAGTATAAATAATACTTGAAATAGAGTAGAATCATGCTTGTTTTTGTCCCTTAATAGTTGACAAAAAAACCAAGCACATGATTGTTTCAGAAGAATGCTAAATATGTATGATGATCCTGTAGTGATCAATGTGCCCAATGGAGTTAGAAGTTTCATCATATGAATCATTTGTAGATAGCATAATCTCCCTTCGAATAAGATATTGAAGAATTATAGGAATACTTGTGAACTCTCTTGAAAGTTGTAGTGAAGGAAAAGTTAATTCATTTATTCCTAAGAGAACTCCTCCTGAATAATGCATCATAACTCATAGTTTATAACATCACAAGGAAATTCAATAAAATAATATTAATTTAAGTCATCCATGATTTGTGGAGGATTAAGGGCTCACCAAACAATACTAAAAGAATGGTTTGTAATGGTGGTAGTATCCTAGAGAACTTGAAGATGCTGTGGTGAAGGGGAATCTTGTCATGCCACAGGATCTAAAGTGGAAGAATTTCATTTTTTTTAACTATCCTTCTATTTTTCAATCCTTTAACAATAGGATCATTGATAACCATAGCTAACTAATTGAATTAAAATATCTATATAAATAATGATAAACATAATTACATTTTATTTCAAAGTCCAAAATTCAAAAGAATATATACAATAGTCACTATAGACTACAAAAGAATACATATAAAATCAAAGAGCTATAAATAGATCTAAACTAGCATCGCTATTTAGCCTTATACTGCATCTCTTTGTCTTTACCTGAAATTATATAAAATATGTAATTAATACATAGCCTAACAAGTAACCAAAACTTATCATTGCATTCAATATAAGCCAAAAGAATCAATATGATTGCTACAATTTTTGTATATATTAATCAACAATCAATAGTATATCATATAAGAATTAAGAAATCAATAAAATCTATATAAATCAATAATAAAATCAATATGACAAGTAAAATCAAAAGAGATCTATCAAATTATAAGAGAAACTGATAAAAATGACTATCAATCAATGGGTCATGTAGTATGATATGCTATATTTTATGAGTATCAATGCTAGTTCAATCAATTCAATATCAATTATATCCATTAGTTCAATGCATTATTGGGTAAATACAATTATGAAGAGCAAGATTACATCCAACTATAATATGGCGCTTTCATCCTTTCACCCAAGTTGTCGACCAATTGGTAATCGGTCTTTATCTTACCATATCATTGTTCATTATCTTAAATTAATTTACTAGGACTTTCAATAATCAATAAAGGGTCATCAATCTCTACTCGTCAGTATAATTCGGTCAATCAATTACAAACTATACTCAGAATCACATCACATACCTTTAATTTTTTTAAAAAAGCCCGTCAACCCACCCTGCTACACATGGTATTATTTTTCAAGAGCCAACCCATATTAATTTTGGTGTTAACTGTCAGTCATCCTTTCTTTATGTAAATGTCATATTTATCGCATATATCAGTTATATCATTTTCCTTATACAATGCAATATCATGTATAAAATTTAATAATATATAAAATATAAGAAAATTTATAAAATATGAATAATATGCATGCAATACCCCAAACCTAAAAGAGGAATTTAAACTTACTTTTAATTACTTCTATACTTCTAAGTTTCTTATTTCCAAATTAATATACACCAGAGCTAGCTAATCATTAAAAAAAATATAAAATAAATATTCATAATACTCAAATAACAAATTTTTTTTCTAAAAAAATTAATTATAATAGTTCAGATTTCAATATTCCCAACAAAATTTAAATACAATTTAAACTACAAAATTATAAGTACCTTTGAAAACCACGCTTCCTGATATCTATCAGACTAAGTCAACTTCGTAGAACTCTTACCCTTTTCCAAAATGTTATATAAACAACATCATGAGAATAAAACTCAGTAAGCCAACCCCTTTTTCTAAAAAAATCAAATTCAATTCATAATAGAAAATGAAAAAAAAAACCATAAATATTATTTAACTTGCAATTTTAAACATGCTCATTCATATATAAGAGAGAAATGTAAAAAATGCACAGACATTGATGCCACTTATAACTCCCAAATTCCATTTCCCACCTGTTTAAGACAAGTACAGTCAGAATTGAGCATAAAAGATTTCAATATCGAGCCAATTCAAAGCCAAAAAAGAATACATAAATATTTTCACCTTGGGCCCAAGTAAAGAATCCCAAAATAAATGTATGTTGCGTCCTGAAAAAAAAAATTTAGAGTAGAGATGTATAAAGTTTAGAGTTTTAGTTTCATACGAAGATATAATACACAAGCAAATTAAAGTAGAGAGGTGCAGCGTTTATATGAGACATTATAGTTTTACGTAAAAATCCTTGAAAATCAGAAAAAACCATGGGGCATTGCCCAGCCGAAATAAATTCAGTAGTATTTGTAGCTGATTATAAATGTTGCCCTTCCTCGAGGGGAGGGTCTTGGTTCAATGTAACAAGTATACATCATATAGTGTGAAAATCCTTAATTTTTTTAAAGAATTTTTTTGATCTATAACAGTCAAAAATTATTTTAGGAGTCATTGTAAATCTAAATCACAAATAGTCTTCATCATAATATATATAATATTCTACTTTAGTTCCACTAAGTTTTTCATAATTTTTGGACACTGGTGAAATTCCTTACACTTATCGTTACAAGTTGAGATTTTTTAACCGTTCGGTGTCCGTTTGACAAACAAATTTCACCATAATATTTTAGATATGCTTAGTTAGTTTATGAATATCTTTTCATAATTTATAGATCCCTGGATTTGAAAATATAAAAATTTTATATGAATTTTATACTAAAATATGAATAATTGAAATGATTGCATTTTTTATCCTTAAAAGTGAATATTTGAAGAGAATCTTAAACATTCTAAAACTAGATCTTGAGATTTACTTATCATCATAGCTCAACATAATTGGACATATTCTGGCCGGGTTGGTTTATGACATATAGAGCGTATTACATTATACGAGTTGAAAAAAATCCAATTATATGAGAATTATTTTCAAGAGAATATTGGCATGTCTATTTGGTCAGTATGACCATAGTCAACAAATGATGGTGGTCGGAGGGACTGTAGTTGGCATGCAACATAGGTCGTAGGGATCATGGTCAAAGAGATCATAATTGGTAGGTGATAGATGTCGGAATGACCGTAGTTTGACGATCAAGATTGGAAAGAGTGTAGTCGGGCAATGAAGGTCAAAAGGACCGTAGTCGATGGGTGACAGAGGTCGAAAAGATCTTAGTTGGATATTGGAATGATCGTAGTCAGGTGATGGTGGTCAGTGTGACACATGCAGGTTCATCATTGGATTGACCTGTTCTGACCCGATTGGAAAAGGCTGCAAGTAGAGAATTTGAGGAAAAAAGAGAGGATTTTTGTTGTTTTCAACCATAGGCCCAATTCAAAATATTGTCAGGATTGAGGTAGGCCACATTACGCCTATCTCAATTTTTAAATATTCGAAGTTTTTATCTAATTTTTTGATAAAATTCTGATTTTCGTTAGCAAAAGATGCGAATAACTTTGCACTGATAAAATTTTCA